ATCATTTATAGATTTAACTGTGATTTCTTTGCTTCTATTTCTTGTTCATTACATGATCAAATCAACTGGCACGCTCATACATTCGAAGGCGAGCTTTGGACCTGCACTAGAGTTAAACAGATCTCCCAGGCCTCGTGTTTTCTGTCAACAACAACACCAGCCCCAATGCCTACACCATCTTGACCAGCACCAATTGGAACATCTTCAGCCCTTGCAACCCTAGCATTCTCAGCCTCAGACCCACCAGCAACAACATGAACTTGGGCTAGATATGGGATCTCATTCTGTGGACGGAACTGAAGAAATAAAAAGATGAAACATAGTCTTAGTAAGTGGTGAAACACAAAATGTATATATACTAAAACATTCATAGTTGTGAAACATACCGGGCGAGACCCATATGTGACATAGCCAAGGTTCATCCTACAACGGTCTACAACAACAATATACTCAAAGTCCTCATCAGTGACATGACAAAATCTTGGTGTGCTGTAGTCAATGATGCGGAGATGCAGTCCAGTTGTTGGCATTTGCAAATGATCCATGTAAGCAATCTAAAAAAAAGGCATTTGATATAGGTAGTTAGCAGGAGCATATTGGCCAAAAAATATGAACTAGAACATATGGCAGCGGTGCATGAAACATATCATATGTGTAATATGAAACAATTGATATATTTTGCTGAAACATATACATAGGTAATTAGCATGCTAGACTGATTATTTACTGAAACATATGACAACAGTTGTGTGAAACAAAACATATACGTTAAATGAGACAAATGGATGTATTTTGCTGAAATATTGGATCAAGCACATGACAGTGAAACAATAAAAAAATATATATAGCAAGGTGAAACAATAAAAAACTTACAACAAGCAAGGGGAGGCACTCTCCAATCTGAAAAATGGAATCTCGTTGCTTAGTAGAGAATCCATGATATTTCTTGATTTCCCGCATCAAACAGCTCGCCACATATGTGCACCAATCATACTGACTCCACATCTGGACATCAACCAAAGAATGCACATAGTCGAGATTCACATAATTGCCAGTGGCAGGACACAAGATGGTGGCAAGCAGGTACAAAATGAAAGTCCTCAAGAACTTCTCTTCATCATGCAGAGAAAGCAACAATTTCTCGCACATGCCTGTACCAAGTCTATTGCTGACAAAATATGGATGGTACAGGGTCCTGATCTCTTTCACAACTTCACTGTTGGCACCACTAAGCTTAACAGGTAGATCGCCATCATTTAGCCCAGTAATCTTCTGTACTAACAACTTATCAAACATGATAACCTTGCCACGGAACCTAAACTCACAAATCTCTGGGTTCATCTTTTGCATAATCCATTCTGCAAGTCGACTATGGACCTTGAAATTGCTTAGCGATAGAAAAGATTCAAAGTCATTATCTATGATGAATTGCTTTTGATCGGGTTCCAACTGAAGCATAGTGCGCTTAAACCTCACACCACCCCATCTATGCTTGAAGTTGGAACCACTACACCAATCAGGCATCCTTGAAAAAAAACACACAGAAACAAAGTCTGAGACAAAAATACAACATGTGCTCTGCAACAAAAAAAAATGTGTGTACTACTATGTAAAACAAACCAGGGAATACTATGAAACATAATATTAATGTGTACTGCAACATTGTATATGCATGGATGGGAACACAAAAAAACAACATAAACACAAATAAAAATGAAAAAATAAAAAAAATGCATAATAGATTATCACAGTGCAAAAATGGTAAAACAAAAAAACCACCATATGAAACAATCACAGTGCAAACTCATATTATAGATTATCAATTATATCTCATAATAGATCATCATAGATTATCCTTCTGTGACAAATTAATGTAACTAATAGAGCACAATCACATCTAGGAGACCACATGCAACACAGACAATAATAAAAAAAAAATCCATTCACATCTAGGGGGAATCTCATAAATGCATCCTCATAGATTATACCTAAAAACATTCTGAAAAAAAATTAATGTCATTACTAGAACACATTCACATCTAGTAGACCAATGCAAAACACAAAAAAAAAAGTCAAAAATCATTTCGGATTTGAGGGAGAAAGCATGGGGTAGCAAGGTGTGAGAGGGGTGGTAAGGGGTGGGGGTGGAATGGGGAACGGGGGTAAACGAAGCCCTCACCTCAACGCTGGGAATGGAGACAGCCGCCGCCGCCGCTGGTCGGAACCGCAGCAACACACAGCCGCGGGGTGAGTGTGTGGTGGGGGTAGAGCCGTAGAGGGGAATGCGACGATTGGAGAAGCCGCTGCGACAGCTTCTAGCTTCTCCAGCGCCGCCTCGAACATCGCCGCTGCCGGTCGGAACCGCCTCAGCCGCCGCCATCACCTACCCGCTAGACCTAACTCCACCGCCACCTCTCCGCGCGCTCTATCCGATTGTGTTGGAGCGGTTACGGTGGAAAAAAGGGAAACCCAGCTGTTTCCCTTTGGATGTTGCAACGGGCTAAACGCACGGAGCAAATCTCAGCCGTGCGTTCTGTCCTAACGGATCGAACGGCTCGCGCGTGCGTCTGACGATGCGCCTCACATCGGACGGCCGATTATAAGCGTTTTCGTAGTAGTTGGCTATACTATTAAACTTGCTCTAACAGAGCGCAGGTTCAACTGTGGAAGCAACGTGGCGAGATCAGGCGGTATTCATCGACGACGATCTCTCCATGAGGGAAAGGGGACCCTCCCCTTTATACCGTGTTAATTATTTTTACCTAGATTTAACTATTTGTAATTTGATTTGGCGCATACTGCATAAAAACAATATCCTCTTTTTAAATGGAAGCAAATTAATTTGCAATATCCGTCTAGATCTTTTTGGCCGAATACAAATGGAGACTATTTTTCTTCCATTATCTTCCATATATTACTTTTTGCCCATATGGATCTGAAACATATGCAGGGGTGTTTTGGTTTATAGAAAGAAAATAGCAATTAATGGACTATGTATTACTCTCTCTGTCCTAAATATAAATATAAAGAGATTTTGGATGGATATGATACATCTAATACGAATCTGGATAAGAGGATGTAACTCATGAAACTCAAAATTTCTTATATTTTAGGACGGATGGAGTAGAATTTGGGAACATGTTATTTCTATCTTTATAGACACCACTTATATGGTTTATATGTTCCTTATCTCCTGTGCTGTGAACAGGAAAAAAATGTGCATTGCACGGTGTGATCAGGACGCGAATGTGAAAAAGAAAAGAAAAGAAATCTCTAGAGGTGGACCCATCAGTGTTTTGGTGTACCTGAGTTATGCTAAGAGCAAAGCCGGCCCCTTATTATTATTAAACTCGTATTCGTATGATGATGTGGAGGAGAAAAGAAAAGAGAGAAAGAGGAGAAGCCAGGTAATTTTCACACATACTTCAATAAATGAGAGAGAAAGAGAGTACTCCCTCCGTAAAAAAAAAAGACAAACCCTGGTTTCCATGCCCAACATTTAACCGTTCATCTTATTTGAAAAAATTATAAAAAAAATAAAAAAGACAAGTCACGCATAAAATATTAATCATGTGTTATCATCTAACAACAATGAAAATACGAATTATAAAAAAATTTCATATAAGATGGACAGTTAAAGTTGGACACAGAAACCTAGGGTTTGCCTTTTTTTAGGACGGAGGGAGCAGTGGATTGACATACTCCAAGTGTATTGGGAGTAGTGTAAACAAGTACAATCTATTGTAAATTAATGTTACTCTCTCCATTAAAAATACTTAGGATTGAATGTATCATATCCTAATACAACGAATTTGGACTAGATATATGTCACATCCAATTTTATGTTTGTTTTTTATGGGCTGTAGATAGTACTCTCTCCGGTTTCATTTTAATTGACGCTTTGGACAATGACACGCTTTACAAGATATACCTTTGATCTTATTTTTCTATTATAATATATACAATAAATAAATGCATGTTTACTTTTATTATAGTGTTTTGAAAGACATATCTATATATGTTTTTCTAATTTCTTTAAACTAAATATTTTTAAAGTTATTGATGGTTAAAGTTATAAAAGTTTAACATCAATCTTTTTCTAAATGTCAATTAATATAGAAACAGAGGGAGTACATGATTACCTACTCTGTCCAGTAAAAAAACCTCAACCTAGATCTGGACATCCCATACTAACTAGGTTGGATTTTTTTTTTGACTTAGGAAAAAATATCAGAAAACCTGCTCTAAACCGGCAATATACCAGGAAAATCCGCAGCGTCTTGCCGAATGGAATTAAATTGTTCATTCATTTTTTTTCTCAGGAATATTCGGGATACAAAATTTTCTACAGAAATATACCGTCGGTCTCGCATACGCGTTACGCGAAAATAACGTGGAATAACGTCGCAGGCGGTATCGCGCCATGAAAGTGCGAAGAGACCGTTCGGTATCGCTGAAGCAAGGAGCGATACTGGTGCCATGATGATTTAATTAGCCATTAATTAACGAATTAATTAAATCACTGATCAAGATAATTTATCATTAATTATTATTAGTTAATTGTTAATTGAGTGATTAATTACTGGAGATATTGGTCAGTGTATCTGTTTGATTTCGTGAGAGCGTTCAGTCTCACATTCCGCGAGACATTTTCACCGCGCGATATCGTCCACGACGTCACGCCTTCACAGAACGGTTATGGGATATCGATGTTATATTTTTAAGAAAAATTGTATCACGAATATTTTTGAGAAAAAAATTAAATAAACAGTATATTTTCAAATTTGACTATCGCCGAACGGCGATGGTATCGATCGATTCAATTCCCAATCTTTGGTTTGATTTCCGCATGTGGCTTTGCCCACTGATCCTCCAGACCTCCACCAACCAACCCCAAAACAACCGGCGACGACGAAATGACAAAATAAAGAAAAAAGAAAAGTGCCGTCGCGTACGAAGGCAAGCTATCTACGGTCACCCCCTATAAATTCGGAAAGAGGCGAGCGAAAGACGAAAAAAACAGCCCGAAAACAGAAGCAATCGCGACAGAGAAGAAGAGGGCCATTCCCTTCGTCCTCCTCGTCGCCTCCGCTTTCCCAATCCACCATCTCCCCCCACCTAAATCCATCGAATCATCCGCCCCCGAATTCCGCCGCCGACGCGGTCGATCCCTCCCCGGCCGGCGCATGGGGATCGGGCCCAATCGCCGCCTCTCCCGCCCCTCATTTGGGGTTCCCGGGATTTGACGGCTTTTTGCTTGCTTGAGCGCTTGCTTGCTGATTCGATCGGGTGGGAAGATTTCCGTGCCTGCCTCCGGTGGTGGTTCGATCGGGCTTGGGGGGGATTGATGGGTTTGCTGTTCGTGGAGTCGCTCCCGGGGCCGAAGGTGTTCAAGTGCAAGTTCTGCGGGGTGGACTCGGCGTCGCCGGACGCCATCGTGTCCAAGGAGTTCCGCGGCCGCCATGGCCGGGCCTATCTCTTCGACAGCGTGTAAGCTGGGCTATCCATCCACTATTTCCATTTCCCCCTCTCTTTTGATTATTGCGTTTCTATGCATGACAGTGACGCGATCGTGGCAATGTCGCTGTCCTGGAAAGGATTAGCGTGTCCATGGACGGGGAATTGTGGAATTGTCTTGTAACAGTGCTGTTTAATGATGGATTTCTCGCGTATTGTTGTTTTGGGATGGGAGGGAAAACGGCGGTATCTTATATTGGTGCAATTAAGCTAGATTGCAAGCGTTCGGAAGTAGATTCATGATGTGGTTGTGTTGGATTTGATCAGTACTGCGTGGCTAGGGCATAAGAGGCTAATAAGAGCTATGCAAATTATGTTCCACATGATAAATTGTCTTGTTCTTAATTTTTTTGGTCTGTCAATCTAGACACAGATGGAACTGATAGGAAATGCCGAAATGTTGATGGCTAGTGTTAAGCTACAGAGCTATAGTTTGGAGATTAATTAGCCACAATCTCTTGTTAGATATTACATGATGGAAAACAACATCATGCTTGGTAAAGAATGAAGATGAACAGAGCAAGGTGTGAGTTGAGAACTTAATTCATTGTAGCTATGTCAATCTGATATGTTGCAAAGGTGGCTCTTATCTTAAACCTAGTAGGACAAGGGTTCATGTACTAATCCTAATAGGATTTTGGTTCCTGCTTCTATTTGGACTATGTATGCCACAATACCCAATCCAGTCCAGTATTGCTGCTCACAAAATAGGGTATCAGAGTATAACATGCTATTATATAGTTTTTCTTAGTCTATTTTTCATATCTTTGTAACTGACCTACTACTGGATGTTAAAGGCATGCGAAGGTTATGTTTTGTGAAATCAGTTGAACATGTAAACCATATGTTGTTTTCTGAAATAGGCAAGCAATATACCATGTACTTCGTTTGTTTAAATGAAGTATCCTTGTCTGGCGTTTATTTTTGTCCGATCCAACAAACAAACATGATAATTAGGGCAATGTTGTTAATGTTGCATCAATTTACATCACAGTATTAGTTAAGGCATAATTGGTCATTCAAATTGATAATTTGAACAACCACTCTCAACCAATTCTTGTTTACATGTTGATCCGGAGTGAACATGACATCCAGGGTGAACGTGAGCCTTGGTCCCAGGGAGGATCGCCTTCTCATGACTGGATTGCACACAGTGAATGATATCTATTGTAGCTGCTGCCAACGACTCCTTGGTTGGAGATACGTAAGTTGCCAGTTTCCATGTTGTTTAGTGAGAATTCATTTGAACACTACAAATGTAGGACGGTCTATGCCTTCATGATGGTCAACCTGTTAAATATTCGATACTTTATCTATATCTGGATAAGTTAATGTCCTAACAGAAGACTGTGAGAGATTTGACTAACTTTTCTTATTGAGCATGATCATATAGCATTCATGTCTTTTGAAACAATAGGAGGGTAGAGTTTGCTACATAATGTATGGGAATCTCCAAGGCATAACCTCTGCATTTCTGGGGAGCACATAACTAAGAATTATGTTGGCTATAGATTGCATTTTTGCTAAGAGCCAATGCATTACCTTATGATTCATGGGCATCGACTGGTTGTCAGACTTTCTATTTCCTGGATCTCTTTCGTGTTATCATTTCTTTGATGTGTAAAACTCTATTAATACTATATGCCTTAATTGTGAGGCAAAATGGGCAGCAGGATGTGGCTATGCTTTCTGACACAAGACAAACATGATCTGGTTTTTTTGTTTCCTCATTTTCGAAATTTGATGTTGTCAGTTGAGAAGATGCATGATGAATCCATGCTCCATGGTGCATTACCGGTAGAAGTCTAACAAGCTATCACTCCCTCTACAAACTCATCTATGCTCGTAGGCTTTTCTGTTAGATCATGTTTCATGAGCTTCCATGCGGCACTTTATCGTTTGAATGCATTCTTCTGCAACACTCAAAGTAGGTAGTAATGCTTAGTGTTCAAGTCGTAGCTTAAACCTGGGACTGTCCAGATCTTAATAATATATACCGAGACTAGTCGATCACTACCCTATAGTTCTGAGCTTTATAAATTAAGTACACCTCATTTTCTACCACTGTGTAGTTTATAGTTATTTTTTCCTGGTGAATTTTTTTTTGGGGAAAAAACAATATGTTGCCTATGTTATGTGGTTGGGAACATCTAGTCCATAGTGGGTCTTTTCAGCTAAGGAGCATATGATCAATTTGTTCCTCCATTTCTCCCTTAGTTCCATGGTCAGGCTGCCCTTTCCACAGGAATCTTGCAAATTGTTAACTTAATATGAGATTTTTATTGTTTGGTTGCATTTGTAGTGATGATTTCCTCCAGGAGCATTGGCTGGATGTTCCTTCATGCATGACTAATTATACCTCTAAACACTTGCTACTGCCAGATGGACTATAAGACCAATCCTGGGTCATACACACTTGGGCATTTGATCCAAATGTCAGCAAGTATGAGTCCATAAGCGTGAACGAACGAATATGCTCTTTAATGTTCATGCCATTTCTCTCATGAATGTTGGTTATTTTTTCTGGATCAGTCATCATCATGTAACTGTGCTCATTGAACAATATGCAGGAGAAAGCTTATAGTGAGGACCAGAAGTACAAAGAAGGCAAGTATATATTAGAGAAGCACATGATGCTGAAAGAAGGATAGTGATTGGAAAACCGCTGAACTATTAAGTCTGCAAATGCAGGCATATGAAACCATGTAAAATATCGCTGAATATTGGGTTTCAATTCTCCCCAAAATTGATTATCTGGCGAGGACCATCGTCATTAAATTGCATTTATGAAATATAATGTCATGTGAAATCCACTGTTCTTTCAGCTGAACCTCTGAAAACTTCTTGACAGTTTGCTTGGTTAACCCCATTCATGAAAGTTTGCGAATGGGGAGACGGTTCAATCCCATTCTTGACATTTGTATATTTTGATCTCAATCGTCTTAAATGGCCAAGGATGGGATTGAGTTGCAACCTTTGACTCTTTGAGGCCTGTTTGGTCGGACGGATTTTTTTTTTCGCGAACGCTCTCATAGGCTTGCTGCCTAAAATTGAATTCCTACATTTCTAACAAGCTGCGAGCTTGGTCAGATTAGCTCGAAAACTAGAGATAAAGTTAATGTGTTCCCTAGCATTTCTATTCTGGGAATGACCGCATGAGCAGAACACTTGGCACAAATGAAGGAACAGAGCGGAGAATCGGCACGCGCCGCCTGCTACGTTGATGCATCCAAATGGCTGCATTCTCCGAGACGAATCACGCCGAAACAGCGATCAGATCGCGACCTGCGTAAGTCAAACAGCGCTACCAACGGATAAGATTGTAGGATTACCGTCTGATAAACGCGGACTGCACGTTGTGCATATGTCACTGCTTAGCTAGCTAGTAGGCTACTCCCTCCATCCCCATATGTAGCAAGCACATATTAGGACTACGAATTTGGATATATCCTATGTGACTATGTTCAGATTCGTAGTTTTAAGACGAGTCTAATTCATATGTTCAGATTTATAGTCCTAGAATCTATCCTAGATTGTTATATATCGGGACATATGAGGGTGTAGTACTTTGGTAGTGTTTGAATATCCTGAAGATGAAGATGAAGATTAAGTGTTTTATACAAAACGAGGTTATAATAATGTGTAATTAATTGAGTTTTAATTATTCTAAACTTAAAAAATAGACTAATATGATATTTTAGAACAATTTTCATATAGAAAGTTTTCGTACGAAACGTACCGTTTAGCAGTTTAAAAAGCGTGGCACGAGTATCCAAAATTTAATCCAATTTTTGTTGGAGAAAAGAACATGGCCTTTACTCCATTACTTGAATTTTCATCTAATATCAGTATGGCGTAAAGTATTCGAAAATCCCTGGAGAATGGATGAGCATTTGGTATCTGTACAATCGCCTCTGAGTCTCCTCTGACCTGCACCATACCCGGCCTACCTCACCTTCGCCTTCCTAGAGAGCACTGGCCGTCGGCTTAACTAACTCCAGATCGAGTCCCATACTCCCATGGGCCATGGCCCATCCGTGCCACGTGTCGCATGCTCCTACCGGCGAGGCGGGCCCACCAAGCTTGGTCAACCCTCCAGTCCGCCGTAGACCGTAGCGCTATACGGACGTAGTACGAGTACAAATACGTCACAGGCTTGTACTCCTATACCGGCTCTGCCTGGTGCAGGCGCTTACCTGCGGGTGGCCCAACCGCGACGCACCACGCGTTCACACGGCCACGTCAGCCTACTACGCCTGTCTCCGCGTATAAATAGCCGCCGCCCCCGATTTCGCCGCTGCTGCTAACCTCGCCCCACTTTCCCCGCCTCGGGTCGCGCCGCCGCGTCCCCGCCGCGCCGCGACGCGACGCAACGCATGCCCCCCAACCCGACTCCGCCGCGGCGCGCGACGACGACGACGACGAGGGCGACCAGCGGCGTCCGCCGGGGGGAGGAGGAGCAGGGGGGCATGGCGGTGTCGGCGTCGGCGGGGGAGGAGGAGGAGGCGTTCGAGGAGGTGGACCCGACGGGGCGGTTCGGGCGGTACGCCGACGTGCTCGGCCTCGGCTCCGTGAAGAAGGTGTACCGCGGGTTCGACCAGGAGGAAGGGATCGAGGTGGCGTGGAACCGCGTGCGGCTGCGCGCGCTCGCCGACCGCGACCCGGCCATGGTGGAGCGCCTCCACGCCGAGGTGCGCCTCCTCCGCTCCCTCCACCACGAGCACATCATCGGCTTCCACAAGGTCTGGCTCGACCGCGACGCCGGCGTGCTCAACTTCATCACCGAGGTCTGCACCTCCGGCAGCCTCCGCGAGTACCGCGACCGCCACCGCCACGTCTCCGTCAAGGCGCTCAAGAAGTGGGCGCGCCAGATCCTCCTCGGACTCGACCACCTCCACACCCACGACCCCTGCATCATCCACCGCGACCTCAACTGCAGCAACGTCTTCATCAACGGCAACACCGGCCAGGTTCCCCCCCACCCCTCATTACTGCATCCAGTTTCTTCCCAGATTAGCAGATTTGACAAGCTCACCTATCCCAAAAATTTAGGGCTAGAATTAATTACAATCAAAATCATGATAACGTTCGATCTGCTAGACTATATTAGGAGCAAAGCAATAGCTTAATTAGGCCTTTGAACTGCCATTTTTCTTTTTCAAAATGAAATGTTTGAAAACTGAAATGGTATTCAAATTTTGAATTGGTAGACGGTGGTTGGAGGGAGTATAATTTATTGGCTGTTGAAATGTACACCGACCGGGGCATCACGGCATTCGGGGGATTAGCGGGTGGCTTTGCCCTTTCCGCCTCTTTTCCGTGATGACCTGTAGTAGTAGTAGCTCTCGGTGTGTGCATGAGCTGCACCTTTCGAATAAAGGAAGGGAACACAAGTGAGATGCACGCTGATGCGCTCTTTAATTTCACACTAGTTTTCCCACCCCTTCAAATCGATCAAATCGCGTGGGCGTCGCGCAATTTTCGCACGCCATGCTTGCTTTCGCTTGTCGCTGTCTCGCGAATCGAGTTTGGATTGGTCGTGTGGCTGACGACGACGACGGCTCGATCGGCCTGGATCGGTCGATGGATGGATGCAGGTCAAGATCGGGGACCTCGGGCTGGCGGCGATCGTGGACAAGACCCACGTGGCGCACACGATCCTGGGCACGCCGGAGTTCATGGCGCCGGAGCTGTACACGGAGACGTACACGGAGTCGGTGGACATCTACTCGTACGGGATGTGCGTGCTGGAGATGGTGACGCGGGAGATGCCCTACGCCGAGTGCGACAGCGTCGTGCAGATCTACCACAGCGTCACCCGGGGCGTCCCCCCCGCCGCGCTCAAGCGCATCAGGGACCCCGAGCTCCGCGCCTTCATCGAGCGCTGCATCGGCCAGCCCCGGAACCGGCCCTCCGCCGCCGAGCTCCTCCGCGACCCCTTCTTCGCCGGCATCGACGACGACGATAGCACCGGCACGCTCGGCTAGCCTGTTAACCAGCTGGGTAGTACTAGAAATTATTGTATGTGAATTCGATTGGAAACAAATAAACGTTCTAAACGAATTAAGCTCCAGCGAGTAGCAAATGTTTATAGGTTCATGTCTCACCGGCGCTCGAGCTGTAGCCTGTAGCTTTGGATGTGGTTAATTAGTGGCTAGTACTGTAGTATTTATTGTACTGTTTGTTCTTTGGTTTGTACTGATTTGATTCATGAGCTTCAAAGAAATGGAAGATGAGGAGCTGTATTTGGCTTTGGCTTTGCGTGTCAAATGTGTCACAATCCTTTCAAAGGATGGTTGTAAATTAAAGGTGTGAGATTTCCATGAGCTGGATGCTGGAGTTTATAGTTCAATACTAAAATCAGATGGATGTAGACGTGAGACCCAATCAATATCTGAGATATCTCGGGCCCTTTTCCTCTTTTGCGCTGCTCTTTTTTTGCTTCAAGCCTCAGGAAACACGACGGGGTACGTAGCGTCCGTTGCAAACAGGCTGTCCGACAACCTGTACAGAGAGGAGACGGCTGGCAAACGGATAGCTCAATTCAGTTGAAGGAAAGCATTTTCCACCAAAAAGCGCATACATGTCTTCTGCAGTTCTGCTTGTGTGGAGTAGTGGTAGAGCTTGCGGTTATCATGTTGCCGTTGGACATCGGATACAGTGGCAATGCCATTGCCGTATCCATGCACATTCCACAAATTTTGGTGCTCTTGGTCAAGTTCGTTAGGTGATGGGGTGTTGTGTGTGGGGCATCGCATCTGCTGAAGAATCATTCGAACTCAGCCTGTTCGCACCTATGGATTCTGAAGGACTTATCCTGCTGTATCTTTGTTTATCCTCAATTTTCTGGATGTCAGCTTGTTCGCACCTAGGAGTATGTGTTTTCCAGTATCTTTGGTCAATTGTAGGCATTCTAAAGGCAGATATAAATGATTTTTACGGGCTCGATTGGGAGGCCTAAAATCCTAATCCGATCCATCCACAAGGGTTCAAGCTCCCAGACTCCCAGTCCAACCACAGGGATGAACACGGGGGTTCTGGGCTTCCCAAATAGGCCTCCTACATCTTAGGGTAGGGTGCCTTGGGTTGTCATGGATACATGGAACATTTCAAGATTATACACAACTTTTTTTATGAGTTGTATCTATAAGGAAATTTGGTTGATATAGACTAAGGAGGGGCATAATCTTAAGGGAACTAAAGTCCTTTACCTTACTTGGGTAGTTGGACTAACCAAGACAGTATTATTGACGCTAGGTGTACTCATACAAGTGCATTTTAATGGCAAGGAAACTAATGACATAAAATCCTTGACTGGATTGATAATTGACTTGGGTAGATGTCCTCAAAGGTTTTACAAAAAGGAAAAAAAAGTTCAAACCCCATAAACTATTGCAACAGTTTGAATTATCCCGCCTTCCCCTTCCCCACCAATCAAACCAAAGAACCATAAATTATGAACCCTAAACTCTTTAATCTGGTCAAATTACCCCCTAACACAACCCAGAGCATTTTGATCCCTACATGACACACATATGACAATAATTTGCCTGATGTGGTATTCCAGTCAGCAACTAGATTAAAAAAGATCTAGTGGCCCACATGTCAGTCAATGTCTATTTCTTCTCTTTCCCTTTCTCTCTCTCTAACCTTCTCTTTCTCTCTCACAAAAAGCCTATGGAAGTAGACTTGGAGGTAGGGGCTTGTTGCATTGACAGTGTACTTGAAACTCGAAGGAAGCCTCACCATGACACCGGTGACCTAGAACGTAGAGGCCTACGGTGACGAGATATGCCTCCTCTCCCTCTGTTGTGGCCAGATCCCCTAGGTGACCACCACCATTGCAACTTGTGTCAATATCGATACCTTCAGCGCCACGCCACTGACCTTCTCTCTTCGTCTTCCTCCTTCTCCAACCTTGTCACCAATTTTCAATAGCTCGCCCAATGACGGCATCGACCTCAACAGGAGAGCTCACCATCGTTGTCTCCTGCTCACCACATACCAAGCTCCGCCCTGACGATATCCGCCTCAACCAGACCACCACCCACTTCTCGACCTCTAGCACGTGCTTAGCGAAGGCAAGATCTGCCTCCCCGAGCTAGCTTGAGTTCCTATATCGTCACCTCCACAAGCTTTTGCAGTGGTGGAGGTGGCTTCACATTCGGACGCAGCTTTACATTCTACAATGTCGGTGGTAAGCTTTTGCACGGGTTAGTGTGTGCTTCGAGAAGAGCATGGGATCTGCACCAGGCGGCACCTACCTACGTTGCAGAGGCAACTGCTTCCACACACACAAAGGAGATAGATGACATGTGGGTTCCTTGATTTTTTTTTCTTATTGGATTGTCGCGTGTTTTATCTCGGGTCGACCGACCAATTTGTCTAGTGTCAAAAGTTGAAGGGTGTGAAATGTATGGCTTCGCAGTTCGCGGGTAATCCAAACTATCACAATAGTTGACTGGGTAAGTTGGACTTTTTCCTTATAAAATAAGTTGCATTTTGTGTTGTATGTGTGCATGTGCGTCTTCCATATAATTGTGAAAAAAGATAAATTACATGAGAAGTGCATGTTTTGCGAAGATTTCTAGTTATGAGAGAGCTCATTCAATCAGTGCGAGAAATACATAAGGTAATTGACTATATATTGTATTACTGAAGAATAAAATAAAACATTCCTTTTTCTGAAGGGCTATAAGAGCCGTCCCAATACATACAACACAAAATAGGTTGTATCTAATCCATGTAATCTAAGACACCATTAAAGAAGTTGTTCGCCTAGTGCATAGTTGAACCTATCTAATCAATTTTATTACCCAATCCCAATTAATCACCTAATGTCTAGACACATTGGAAACATGTCTCAATACTATAAATTTTTGTTGGAGTCTCCAGGTGTTCGACACGGTCATATGCCTCTTCTGCTGGATGATCTGGAAAGAAAGGAGCACAAGAGTCTTTGAAGCCTTCACCCACTAGTTACTGTAGGTCGCAGATTGCACAATTGATGAGCGGAGGACATGGAAGATGGCTGGACTAGGTGCCTAGCATAGCACAACAGATTGGTAACCTGAAGTGTAGCATTGTGCCGACGAGCCCAGGTCATCAGGCACTTTGCCTTGGTTTTATGACAGGGCTCGCTTCGCATCTCAGTCTCACGCCCGATATGCTTCATCCTCTGTGTTTTGGCTGAGCATTTACAAAGTCTATAAATTTTTACCCCCTCCCTCCTTAATACAAGTTCGGTCGGCATTCTTTGTCAGCCCAGCGAAAAAATAGTTTTGTTGGAGTCTTTGTGGTTGTATTTCGTACCATTACTTGTTCTTGCATCTCTTTGTACTAATTGTAGTGCAAATTTTATAGTACTTGGCATGCTATTTAATGCTATGAACTCTCAAGTGAGGTGAAATGTTAACTGAACAAGTAATAAATATCGATTGTTGTTTGTCCAAGCGTTTTGCTCTTTTGCCATTATAAATTTTGATTTTTTTTACGAATTTTACTATGAATTTATGGAACAACAGAGAGAGAAAAATGAAAAAGTAGTTCAATTATAAGCATACATGTCCTACTGTGAAACTTTATTTTCATCCAAGCACCTGGCGGCCCCATCGGTTGGCTTTTTTTCTAATAAGCCAAAACGGTTTATTAGGGAATAAAAATAAATTTGTAGGTAAAACTTTTATATATGTGTTCTTTGTAATTTAAAAGCCAATGCTGAAAAAAAATACGTTGAAAATATCTTAAAATCAATCTTAAAATTAAGTTTGAAAATTCAAAATTTAGCTTATTCTTTGGCTTATTGGGCCATCCGATGAGAGCCTGGGAATGGTATAAACATAGAATTCTATCACTATAAACATATACAATGAAACGACGAAAACAGTGGGCGAAACCTTTCGCCAGATCAATCTAGAGTAACCCTTTCTTTTTTTTAACTTTAACCTCTGACCCTCTGAGATTGACAGTTCGATACGTAACGTTTGCCAATTGGAGAGAGTTCGTCCATTCCTCTCTTGCATTGTTTCTCTCCGTTTCAACGACGCCCTTGGGTGCTTTAATGCGATCAAAAATCAAAATGTGAGTCACGGGCGTGAGAAGCCTTGCAGACCCGGCGTCTCCTTCTCCGTTGAGCTGAAACCCAAGCACGATCGAGTCGCCAGTAAAAATTTCTCACCACCGATCTCGATGCAGTCACGAGCCACGAAAAGAATTCGGGAGATTTCAAGTTTTCAACGCATCAATGAGAATAAGAATTGTGGGGGATTGGCTTCCCGATACCCCCCAAATTCCAGAGCAAAATATTACTGGCATTTGACGCCCTTAAATTCCCCACCTTCTGCAGCGTCCGATGCACGTCAACGATTTGATTATTACCGACATTCTCCTTTATCAATGGCAATCTTGCCATTGCAGAACTTAGATTCAGAAATGCGCTGACCATGCCGGTAGTGTGATCGCACATAAATTACAGCACTAATCAGCTAAGCAATCACACGAATGCTATATTCTCTTATTTTTTAGGTTCCTTTTTTTTTAATCTGATAGCTACTTCTGAACGTCAGGAGAATACAAAGGTGTCAATTTGTCATGGCAACGCAATTGTCAGGACTCAGGAGAAACAAGGTTTTCTGGCGACCACACTGCCATTGCTTGCTACCGAAGCTTAAAGAAACCATTTCACAGTTCCGAGTCCGAATGGGAGTCTCTGGCGTGCATGCCTGGTGAATGATGAAACGCCCGTTGAAATGAACTGACAGTGACCTTGATTAATAGTTTGATAATACTATACTTCCTACTATGATATTCAGAGCTCCGTCCGTTCGTCAATGTGCACGCTTGTTTTCTTTTAATCTAAAAGTTGTGTGGAAGAGCATCTATCTGCCCAACTTATGCTACCGGATAGTGTACGATTTGGTCATTATAAGTTTCTCTGAAAAAGAAGCCCATCTAGAGAGATTAGCAGAGGACAGATAGTCTAATCATAGGAGATGCTTAGTCTCGTGGCAGTTATTATATGGAGATTGTTACCTCCAAGCAACTCTTTCAGTCCTTCGCTTTGGCGATGCTAGATTGCTAACCTTGGACGTTTTACGCCTAGGAGTAGCACACAACAATGACCGGCTGTTCTGCCTGTTCAGAGCTCTGAAAGCTTGGTATGACCCCAGGCGCAAAAGGATCCAGTTTTCTGCCATTTGGTGAGAAATTTGGACACCCCAATCAGACGTCAACTGTACACTGGAAACACCACACTAATTACTTACAAAACCGAGAATATATACACACATCTTTTCACACATTAGACATTCACACCAAATGGAAAGTGTGGCCTCCATTTGTGACACATGAAATTTTTCTCGATTTCTCCGATAATCGAACTGATTCATATGAAAATACTGTATTTTTTTCCAGAACACGTGCATATACCAAAGGCCAGATGGTGCCTGAAGAGGCCATAAGCCATTCCGGCCATTAGAGGCAGGTTAGCTCGAGCTTAATTTGCTTAAACTAGTGCTGGCTCCCTCGGATCTTTACAAGGCTGCCTCCCTGTGCCCTGTGGTGGCGAGGAGAGAGCAGTGCAGTGCAGAGGAGAACGCACGCGCGCCCAGGGAATAAGGAAACTTGCACGAGGGGGTGGAGGGCGATCCGATTTCCCAGCCTTAAAACTGGGGTTCAACTCCAACGTCCCCCATTCGTGCGCCCTCAGCCATTGTACCCCTTTTCCACTCCTCCCGATGTTCCTTCCTCCCTCACTCCACCACTCCGGTTTTATACTCCTCCTATCTCTCTAGTCTCTAGTCTCTACTGCTACTAGTACTGGTAATCTGCGAGGGATGGAGCCGGAGATGGAGGTGGAGGTGGAGGTGGAGATGTCGCCGGCGGCGGCGAAGGCCGCCGTGTTTAGCCCTTACTCGAGCCCGAGCACGGCGTTGCTCCTGCAGAGGAGGGTCGTTTCATGGTACAGAGTGTTAGAGCTTGGAATTTTGGAGCCCTTGGGGGTTCTGATGGTTGGGTTGGTTGTTGATCTGGATTGGATTGGATTGCAGGGCCAAGGAGACCGGTTCGCCGGCGACGGTGAGCGTCCACGTCGGCGACAGGAGCTTCAACCTGCACAAGGTTAGGAGAGATTGTGTGAAGATTAATTAGGGATTCTTGGTTGGGATGAGGAGGAAGAAGATGGTGATGAGTGTGTGTGATCTTGTCGTTGCAGGATCCTCTGGTGTCCAGGTGCGGGTACTTGAGGCAGGCGATTCTCCGGTGCGGCGACGGCGACGGCGAGGTCGTCGAGCTGCCGGCGAGCTTCCCCGGCGGCAGCGAGGCGTTCGAGGTGATCGGGCTGTACTGCTACGGCGACGCGGTGGCGCTCGACCCGTTCAACGTGGCGGCGGTGCGGTGCGCGGCGGAGTTCCTCGACGTGTCCGGCCTCGGCGCGCGCTGCGACCTGTACATCAACCAGGTGGTGCTGCAGAGCTGGGACGACGCCCTCATCGTCCTGCAGCGATGCCAGCCGCTGCTCCCCGTCGCCGAGGAGCTCCTCGTCGTCAGCCGCTGCGTCGAGTCGCTGGCGTTCATGGCGTGCATGGAGATCCTCGACCCCGACGGCGACGAGCAGCGGCGCGAGCGCGACCAGCCGGGCCTCCTCGCCGCCGCCGCGGCGCGCGGCCTCGCCGGGCGCCGGTGGGACGCCGAGCTCGTCAAGGAGCTCGCCGCGCGCGACCTCTGGATCAAGGACCTCGTCGCCCTCCCCTTCGAGTTCTTCAGGCGGATCGTGCTGGCGCTGCGGCGTCAGGGCATGAAGGAGAAGTACGTCAGCCCCGTCGTGCTCTTCTACGCCAACAAGTGGGTGCTCTCCAAGAAGACGCACAAGTTCATGGCGAGCACGGACACCGGCGACGGCGAGACCGACGCCAACAGGAGGGCCACCGCGATCCTGCAGGGCGTGATCGACCTCCTCCCACTCGAGTCGTCGGCGGCGACCGGCGGCGCCATCCCGGTGTCGTTCTACTTCGCGCTGCTGGCGCGGTCGATCACCCTCGAGCTCAGCGACGAGAGCCAGACGAGGCTGCGCGAACTGGTCGCGTCCAACCTGCAATTCGCCCGCGTGGACGACCTCCCGCTGCCGGAGCCAGAGCAAGACGCCGGCGGCCAATCCATCGCCGGCAGCCCGGAGGTGAGGGCGATGGAGAGCATCGTCGCGAGCCATGTCTCAATGCAAAGAAGAGGCGCGGAGGCCGTCGCGGAGCTCTGGGATCGGTACATCGCCCAGATCGTCGGTGACCCGAAGCTCCGGCCGGACCGGCTGGCCGAGCTCATCGGCGTCGTTCCGGCCGGCGACCGGAAATCCCACGACCATCTCTACGAAGCAATCGACACATACATCGTGGTAAAGACGATCGAGCAGAGCACTCGTGCGTGCACGAGATTATTTAGTCCGTTAAGCTGTCGCGCTAACGTTGTGAAGCTGTTTGATTCTGCCATTGCAGGAGCATCCCGGCTTGTCCGGCGACGAGAAGGCGTCGCTGTGCGGCCACCTCGAATGCCGGAAGCTGTCGCACGAGGCGTGCATCCAGGCGGTGCAGAACGACCGGATGCCGCTCCGGCTGATCGTGCAGGCGCTGTTCGTGCAGCAGCTGCACACGCACCGCGCCTTCACCGAGTGCTCCGACTCGTTCCGGTGCATGCACTCGGGGGAGCTCCTCGTCCCCGTCTCCGGCGGCGCCGCCGCCGCCACCGCGTACACCCCGAGCCCCGGGTGCACCACCGCCGTCCCCACCAGCCAGCCGCTCAGCACCAGCAGCCCGTACACGGACACCGCCCACGCCACGCGGGACGGCAGGAAGCTGGTCCGCGCCCGCGCCGGCGACGACGACGACGACGCGGCGTCGGGCTACGAGACGGCGAGCTTTAGGATCCAGGCGCTGGAGCAGGAGATCCTCTCCCTGAAGCAGACGCTGCAGCGGCACAACACCGTGAAGAAGAGCTCGTCCCGGAAGGAGGCGAGCTTCAGGATGGACACGGCGGCCACGCCGGCGGCGGCGGCGGCGGTCAGGCGGCGAGCGCCGGTGTCCTCCAGCAGCTGCATTGGCTCCATGCGGTGGGGATCGCAGCGGCGGTGCGCGAGTAGGATCCTGCGCATCTTCGCGAGGCTGGCCGTGTTCGGGAGAGGGAGCAGGTCGTCGTCGTCGTCGTCGACGTCGAGGGGGAAGCAGAGCAAGTGCAGGGCAAGTGCAGAGCAGCTCAGCTCAGTGGCCTGTAGAACGAAGCACGCAGCGAGGGACTGAGCGAGAGGTAAAAAAATGACGAGACATTTTTACTACACACGTGGAAAAGAAATTGCAGATCATACTGTAAACCCTGCTATGTTTACAAAACCGTACGGTTACTGGGTTATCACGTGACCATGTGGTTTTCACGATAACCACGTGGTTACCATGGTAACCGTCAAACTGCGGGTGACGGTAACCCATACCAAAGGTTTGATGAACTGTGAACCTTGGCTACGAGTAGTAGTGTGGTAGTAGTATGTGAGCAGGGTACTATGTAGTCTGTACATATTGCTGTTGCTGGCAATGCTGAAGAATTGAAGAGTAGTTTGTAGTTACTGTCAGGTGGCCTGGTCAGCACTTTTTCTTAGGTCGAAAATTCTGAATATCTGTATAGTTCATCGGTATTAAAAAGGTTTATTTTCCTTCAAAAAAGTTGTTTCTGATGGGAGGGAACTAATTCGAAAAAAAAACAAAGGAATGCAAGTGTAAAAAAAGTTGACTGAAACATTGAAAAAAGAAGGAGATGTCCGCCCAAATGATTATTTAGAAAAACATGAATATGGGGCTTGTTCATTTTGCTACCATTTTCAACCTTATCAAGTTTTGGCATTGCCAAATTTTGGTAAGGTTGTCAAATTTTAGCAAGATTTCATATGTACTTATTAAAATTTAGCAACAAATTAAATGTAGCTATTATTTTAGGTAACTTTACCAAGAAAAAAAATAAGATTGTAAATAGTAGCAAAGTGAACAAGCCCGCCCGTGATCCTACGTGGAAGTGACGAGAAACGCCGTCTCCGATGATACCATCAGAAGTGGCGAAGACCATAGAAGTTAGCCATGTAAGATTGCCCTAATTCTTTGTAATGGACCTCTTACAATATTGGGCCCAAAAGGGTGGCCTGCTAAGAACTCATTAGGCAAAAGACTAGGAAAATACAAAAATCTTCTTGTATATGTCCCTTTCAAACGATAGAGATGTACCACTTGTATATCGAACCCATAAAACAGAGATTTATCACACATTATGGTATTGGAGTTTCTCTCTCCTTATCCCAAAGGTACTGTTGTCCTAAACAATAATAAGAATGTTTGATATGTTAAAAATATGTACTGGAAGTAAAATTACATTGCGTGGTTAAAATATTTTGGTTTTGTTTTTTTTTCATTTCACAATGGTTAGATGGTTAGAAGTTGCTTTCAGAATTTTGCACATATTTGAGAGGGTGTAGTTTACAACAAAAATTTGCAACGGATGCTGTCCCTCTCAAGAAAAGCCCAGCGTTGAATTTTCCTAGCATTGCTGATGCTGAATACGTGGTCTCAATCCGAAGAAAAAGATGGATAGGCGCAGACGTGGAATTCAGCAAACCTACTATTATGCCGGCGAGCTATAATAGTTGGCAGGTTAGATTTGTATTTTAATAGATTACTAGTAATATGTCCGTGCTAAACGTTACGGTGCAATTCTATTTGTCTTTAATAATTATTAAAATTTCATGTTAGCGGAAATTTTTTTATATGATATGTGTATTTGAACTTTAATTCAATTCATGTCGTACATTAAATATACTTATTTAACGTAAAATAAAATAATATGATATTGCATGGGCACAATAAATCTTTACAAGAATTAAGTTTATATAATCACTTCAGTATATAATACGCTATTATGTTAAAAAAGTAAGTTATTTTATTATTTGTTGCGGGAACAAAATAAAGCATTATTTGCGATCTGGAGGAGGTGCGGGAGAGAGGCTGCAGTGGTTGGCGATTTGACGGAGGGGAAAGGAAACCGAGCGGTGATCCCGCGTGCGTGATTATTTGTGATCCCTAATACATTGCAGGGGAAATCTGTTCTGGGCTGCCTACTCAAAGGCAGAATTTTTCCAAGCCAATCTCATTGTCATCCAAAGTACTACTGCCAATGAACTGACAAAAGAATTGATGAACCAAAGCAGTGACATACTTCTAGACAAACAACTTAGGCGAACTGAGAGAGCTCCCATGGTTATAGCATATGGAAACTGATCCTACAATAAATAAAATAATTTACATTGTAATATAAGAAACCAACTTTTCTGCTACTTGAGGTTTAGAAACTGACCTTGAAACCACGGTTCTGGTTTGATCCACCTGAACATCTCACGGTTATCCATAAGTACAAGGCAAATATGAGTAGATGGCTAATTCGCTATGGAGCAAAATAATACTGGAAGACTGGAGGTTACCTTTTGTTGTTTGCATGTAATGATATATGTGACACAGAAGACCTCAAGAAAAGTTTCTATGTACGGATAAGGGCTATGGCTTATAAACATGTTCATGTTTTTTTTCCGGTTTGCAAATTGGTATTCTAACCTGGACCAGGAACCTACCATGAGTTTTAATATTAACATAATTGTTTTGCATTGGAATAATGAATGTTATGCAAACATTATGCAGTCTCCTGAAATGAATCATCCGATAATACCAAAGTAAATGAAGCAGCACCGCATTTATAGAGAAAAAAATGTTTTCCCTAAGTAGTCCTACACTTCCAGTTGTAAGAAGGATTCAAACTAAAGAAAAACCACCCTTCCATTTGTATTCATGCTTTAAAATTGTAAAATTTTATCTTATATTCTTTTCTTTTTACCAATGCTTTCATACAGTTTGGGGATAGACGGTGGAGATGAGACGAACATGGGTTGGGAGACGCCGCAGCAATGTGGTGGTGGCGGTGCGTGTGGCAGCGCCGGTGGGTAGTGGCCACGGAGGAGATCGGCGTGGTGTCACTGGTGTTGTCCTCGACGGTCGGTGGCGGCACGGAGATGTCGAGGGTGGGCTTCGGCGGCGCCGGTGTGGCCCCCCGAGGTGGAGGTTGCCGGATGTTGTATCAATAATCCCTAATCCTATACAGCAAAATAAGAAAATCATGAGGAAGATTACGGTGGTGCAATGTTTCATGAAGCTTATTGCACTTTGCTTAAAAATGAACCATCTTGGTACAGAATTAGTCAAAAGCTTACTGAAGTCATAAGTTCATCTTGACCAAATCTGTCAAGAATCCAGAAACAATTGGATTGTCCTAACATATGCATGGTGATGGTGATTTCATTAATCAAGGAATGAATCTCTACTATACTGATAATTGACATAGATGGTGCATCATCTTAAATATTCTGTCATTGCCAGTGAAAATCGAATTTTAAGGTTTGACTTCTGAAATGTGTAAAATCTTAAATAACCAGATACTATTGTTCTTTGGAGATGTTTAGACATGTGCAGACAGTTATGCGTTGTTCATAGACATAGATACTTTAGTTATCATTATCTAAAAACATGAATTCTTTAGATACCAAAACGATGCTTTCGGTTTTTTTTTCTTTTGATTGATTCTGGATTATATTAAGAATCGTATGATCAAATCAGCGGCGACTGATGGGGGGAGAGGAAATATATATAGTACTGGATTGTGGATTAAAAAAAAGGAGGGAGGATGATTTCTGTACCTTAATTTCGGCGAATCAGATCGAGGATGGGGCGACACTGTTCTGAAAGCAGAGATTGGTGGTTGCACGGAGACAGTCGACGAGCCGGAGATTGGGGGCGGCACGGAGGAGACCGACGAGGCGGAGTTCCTGGTGAAGATCGGGGGCGGTGCGGAGGAGACCAGCGAGAAGGGCGATGAACGGCGGAGTGGTGAGTGGAGGGGACAACTGGCGGGGTGGGAGGGCGGGTGTGGTGTGCGGCGTGCGACGGCGGAGTGGGCGATGCGGTCTGGACGGCGGGTGGGGGCGCGAGCGCCGGGAGACGACGGGGGCGGCGACGTGCATAGGCGCGATGGGCGAGAGAACTGGCGGAGGAGATGGATTTCGCGATTGGAAGGAAAGTGCGACGATTTCGGGGGCGTAGGGGTGAGGGAAGGCGGATGCTATCCCGGACGTTAGATCTCTTGGGGATAATCTGGACGTTGAGTGATGAATGAAAGAATGAGTGAAAGTATTTGTTTAACTATAGGGTAGATTGAAGATCGCTGAACAGCACCATCTTCATTGTGTTCTTCGGGGGTCATAATAGTTGACTGCATTGGCGTGCCAGAAGATACAGTATTGCATCCATCTGTTGATTTGGCCTTCTTTCTTGCACGCCATTCACGAAGATACTTGTTTGTATCCTCTCTCTTTTTCTTTGCAGAAAGTTCACTTGTCCCTACCACACCCCCTTCACTCTGGTTTATTTCAGATGTAGTTGTTGCTTGAGTTGGATTGACGGATGTTACAGTGCTATTAACAACACTCGACTTTGCTCTATTTCTTGCACGCCACTCACGTAGATAGCTGTTATTTTTTTCCCTCTTTGTTGAGGTGGCAATTTCAGCAACATTGACCTCGGCACTATCACATTCTTCATACTCTGACACATGCGTTGTTTGCATAGGACTTGTACTACATTTCTTCTTAGCCTCCAGATTTGCACGATATATACGTTGTTTGAAGTTTCTTTCCTTTTTACGCTGAGACTCATTGGATAGCCCAAATTGATCCACATGACCTGCATTTTTTTATTAACACTATAGTCATACTGAAAAGGACAAGACCTGCGTTGTACACAACGAACTATCCATTATATGTACACCTTGACGGTGGTTTGTTATATCTCCGAGGGATTTGCGAGCTCCACCGTCCTCCCGATTTGCGTCCATGCGCACCTAATTTACATTTTATGTATTTTTGATGAGTATGTAGTATGAGCACATGACTACATAATAAAAATTAATTTGATATGTACCTCAATGTTTTTTAAAAATTAACTGGCGTAGGGGATTTGTGTTGGTCGTGGTGGCGCTTGAGGCGGAGGAGGTGGAACAGCGTGTTGGCGGAGCAGACTGGCGAGAGATGCAATGGAGTTGTGCAGCGGAGAGCAGATTGGCGACGTTATGTACCAGAATCCGAGCGACGGCGATCTGGCGGCGTGGATGCGGAGATGAGGGGCGGCAGCGAACAGGGACTGGATCCCTGTTGGAAATTGCGGGGTGCAAAATACTAATTAATATTTCGAGGCATCAGAGAATCAAGAGAATAATTTTATAATTACTAATAGGAAAATAGTTATATTTGGAGCGGTACATGTACAACCCAAACTTAGCAGTTAATTTGAGGCAAATTCTCGAAGAACAGTGGCATTTCATATAAAACTCAAAACATCTATCCAATCAAGGTGAAATGTTCTGAAATAGGAGCCTAAAGCTTATTATGGCTGATATGCAAAATGATGAATCCAAACTGCCTAACGGTACGGAGTCATTTAAAACCAAGTAATAAAAAAAGGACCTATCCTCTAACAATTAGGATCACAAGACACGTTAGGACGACCGAAATAACCTTGACAGCTGAATTACATTGTTAACTCTTTTTTCACATCGTAAGTGGCTAGACAAAATTAATGTCGCACCAAATAAAACATAGGATGTTAATCGCCAATGGCACCTGAATTTGGCAATGTTAAATACACGATTTCCTCCACTGCATTTACATTCCCCTCACCATGTTTAAACTCAGGACTAAAAGAATAACTCAAGAGCAGATTCGACCACGTGAATGATGGGTACAATTAACTATCATGTCGCCAAACAATATTATAATTTAAATGTTATAATACACCACAATATGGTTGTGCAGCAAGGTTTCTTCTATACTCGGATTATTGAATCTTGATTACTATATATTGTACAAAACCATGCCAATATATAAGCACCAGGTTATGTTGAAGAGCGAATTAGTAGTAAGCGATACCTCCTTGGTTTCCTGCACTTCACACTATTTGAATTCTTATCACAGTACTTCGGAACATCTTTCTCCAATTCAGTTTAGCCCTGAAATAGTTTTGCAGTCGAGTATGTCAGTAATTGAAATATGATGCTGCTCGTACATTGAACCAATTTCTTAAATTTGCCAAATTCAGATTTTTTAAATTGAACCAATAGGTGGACTTATCATCTACTGGAGTAGATGTATTTCTTGATCTCAGTTTGGCAGTAACCAACGTCATTCAGTTTGGATGTTTTCTTTAGTAAATTCACAACTAATAAAAGAACAACAACCAACGGGTTCACATGAGAATTATATATTAATTCTGTACAGCAATGACACATCTGATAAAAAGAACATGACACACAAAAAAAAATGATCTCACAATATTACCAGTCAGATTGGAAATCTGTGTGATATAATGGAAGCAACCAACAGGTGACCACTGAAAACTACACATGAAACAGGTTCAATTCGGAAAGATGGTAGGTTTAATATAGTTACCTAGGGGACATGAGTAAATTACAGCAAATGACAATGCACGTGATCCAAATAAATGGGTAAATGATGAACGCATTTAACTGGAAAATAATGTGAATCAACAGAAAGAATTTTCTTTTGGTGACATTTCTCCTGCCATTATACCTGTATAAAACAGACCTTAGCAGTTGAGCAACTTGTACCTCTAAGTTTATGACTCAATGCTAACCATCTTTTCTTGTTGAGGAAAAAAAAAGCAAAGAACTTCCTAAATAATTTTTTTTAGAAAAATTGTAATCAGATGCCTTTTGTTCAATGGGAAGAAAAACCCAACCTCGTTCAATGCTGAAACCTAAATATTTCTGAACTAACTGTAAAAAAAAAAACATGTTCAGCATCCTCGAGTCTAGTTTGCATATATCTATATCAACACTGGCTACCTCAACCCCATGTAAACACACGAATATGCCAGGCAACAGGATAATGTAGGTGCAGCTTCAATCCAGTACAAATGTTTACTTGACAGCCTGATGAAAGATTTGCAGTTGCAGTTGGAAAATTCACCTTCTCTTGTTGAGGAACAAGGCGCAGAGCCCCTTGAATTGGAGATTCTACCTGCCATGACAGATGAATATGTCATTGATCTTCTTATATAGAAACAAAAGACTGTGTGGGTGTCATAACAATTATGATCACAAGATTAACGGAATGGCCGTCGTTTGCAACTGCTTGTATAATATTGCATAAAAGTAAATGGTGTAACATTCAAGAGGTGGTGATGTCAATCTTGAGTGTTCAAGGTCTATCTGGGATTTCAGTGGGTTGCAACATCACATGGTATATGTCTGGGATTTTGGATCAGACGCCCATACCTTCTCAACTGCTCTGCCCTGGCGGAGGCGCTGCGATGAAATTTCTGATCACCGCGGACAGGCGACGGGGATCGGATCACCGCGGAAGGCGTCGGCGGCGACCTGGCGACGGGAGCACCTCGTGCGGCGGGGATCGGTGGAGCAGATCGGTGGCGGCGACCTGGCGACGTGAGGAATTCGTGCGGCGAGGAGGCGGAGGACAGGCCGATGGGGATCTTGGAGGACGAGCCGGCGGCGGGGATTCGATGGCAGATCGGATCACCGCGGAAGGCGTCGGCGGCGACCTGGCGACGGGAGCACCTCGTGCGGAGGGGATCGGTGGAGACAGGCGATGCAGATGACGGCGCGGCGGCTACCTGGCGACGGGAGCACCTCGTGCGGCGGGGTGGCGGAGGACAGGCGATGCAGAGGACGGCGCGGCGGCTGATACGGAGCGGAGCGGTGATGGCGGAGGTGCGGGAGCGGTGTTCTGGCGGAGGGCGGAGGTGCGGGAGCGGTGCGCTGATTGAGGGGGGTGGAGGCAGGATCGATCTGGACCGTTCGGATTTTAGGCGGATGATCTGAACCTTGAGCGATGAATGAAAGAACGGAAGAATGAGTGAAAGTATTTGTTGAACTATAGAGTAGATATTTAATAGTATAATTAATTATTATGTAAAATTTAATATATCATTTACAACAAATCTAATAGCCTACTACACTGTTAATACACAAATCACCTCTTAGGACATCCACAATGTAATAATAGTAGATAGCATAAACCGCATATAGTTTATTGGTAGTCCATAGCTATATGTTAGCCTCCTTTCTGGGTCCACACGGGTCCACAAACTCAACGAATGAGAAGGGGGCTAACACGTGGGCCCAGCTGACAAACGGAAATGAAAAATATATTTGAGAGGATGATAAATAGTAAGTTCTCTCTCCATATGCATATCGGTAGCCATAAGGGATAAAATAATAATCTCTCACTTCTCTCCTTACGCTCTCTCTCTATGCATATGAGATACTTCCTCCGTTTCACAATGTAAGTCATTGTAGCATTTCCAATATTCATATTGATGCTAATGAATCTAGATAGATATATATATGTCTATATTCATTAGCATCAATACAAATGTGGGAAATGCTAAAATGACTTACATTATGAAACGGAGGGAATATCTAATATATTGTTTTTATTATTTGATGGGACCCACTTATAGTCCTCTTCTAAATTTAACTCTTATGAGAAATGAAATAGCTAAGAGCAAGTTTAATAATATAGCCAACTACTAGTAGCTCTAAAATCTGACACGTCATTTACAGTCAACCTAGTCTTAGTTTATCAATGTTTCTACAATATATTATTGGAACATGTTTTTTTAGAAATGCCCTTATAAACATATAAGGTTGACAATTTATTTATCCTACTAGAATATTTAGAAAATTAGAAATATTTTTGTGTAGCCTCCTTATACAACATAGAAGTTTGAGTATACGTCCCTACTCCCTCCGTCCAAAAAAAAGACAAACCCTAGGTTTCCGTGTCCAACTTTTGACTCTCCGTCTTATATGAAATTTTTTTATAATTAGTATTTTTATTATTGTTAGATGATAAAACATGATTAATACTTTGTGTGACTTGTCTTTTTTTATTTTTTTCATAATTTTTTTAAATAAGACGGACGGTCAAACGTTGGACACGGAAACCCAAGGTTTGTCTTTTTTTGGGACTGAGGGAGTAAGTTGGAAGGTTTTTCGATCACTACCTTATTTTTATAAAATATTATATATGTGTGTGTATGTCATATGCTATATAGAATATTCTTTGTTGTTGTTTTTAGGAAAGTACAAATACCCCGCTAAACTTTGGATAGAAGTTTGTCTACACTCTACACTTTAAAACCGGATATTCAACCCCCAAAACTTCACTGTACTGTCCATATTACCCTCTTAAAGTGGTTTTAGATGGTGGTAGGGGTGAAAACGGGGCGGGTATTTCCCGCCCGCCCGTCCGTGATCACATTATTTCAGGACAAATTCGGGTACCCGGGACTTTTCACGGATATCGGGTCCGAATAGGTATTTTTTGACGGATACAAGATCATGTTCGGGAACGTAGTATTCAACGGATTTAGATTATCCGGTAAAAAATCCGGGTATTACCCGGATAGTTATACGGATCTCTTACCCCTATTATGTTTTTGTGAGGCACTTTTTGGTACAATATATTGATTCTACTATGATGTATTGTACCCTATTTATTTTCAAAGGTCCTAATAGCCTAATATAATCGTATTATGGATATATGGAATTGTTGAATAGTTATTGTCTATGTGATATATAAGATTATTGCTTCGACTTGATATCCGAATAAATATTTGTAACCGAGATAGTGTACGTATCCATTTTGGTACGTATTCGTTCCGTATTTTTGCCCGACATTATCTGAGTTTGTATCCGTATTCAGCACTATCTGTGTCCGACCCGATTCCGATTATAAAATATGGGTTAGGATATGGGAAGGGTAAGGTCTGACCGAACACGACCCGTTTTCACCCCTAGATGGTGGTTTTGCATATTCCTAAAGTGGCTTTATATGGTGGTTTTGCATATTTTTTGGAAGCTTAAACGAACAACTTTGAATAACTAATAAAACATATTTGCAAATCATCAGTTATAAGTTATCAATTTATCCTTATATAGTGAGATTATACTATTATTATGTTGGTACTTATTTGTAATCAGTTATAACTTATCAATTTATCCTTATATAGTGAGATTATACTATTATTATATTGGTACTTATTTGTAAGTGAAAGCTAATAGAGTAAAAGATAGATTTAAGTCGAAATTTTAATATATATGTCTAACGTGTGGGTCATGTGGTCAAACCCATCTAACTTACATACAAATTTTCAAAACTACCTTAGGGGTATAAACGGCATTGCAAAGTTTAGGGGTTGAATATCCGGTTTCAAAGTTCAGGGTGCTAGACGGATTTCTATCCAAAGTTTATGGGGTTATTTGGATTTTTTTCCTTGTTTTTAATGTAAATCAACCACTTATATGTCATGCAAAGAGACTACACAAAAATGTCCATAATCTTTTGGAACTTTTAGCCGGTCAATCAATTATTCATAATACATATTAACATATGTAAGGGCATTTTGGGAAATTTTAAAAAGGTACGTGGTTGAATAGCTAGAATATTGTTCATGGACTTAGGCGGTGTTCTTAGGTAAGGGTTCTCTCCAGCACGGAAAATGGAGCGATGGATTAGTGCACGATTAGTTAAGTATTAGCTAAAAAATTTTAAAATGGGTTAGTATGATTTTTTAAAGTAACTTTCCACAAAAATTTTTTGCAAAAAATACAACGCTTAGTAGTTTGGGAAGCGTGCGCATGGAAAACTAGGGAGGAGATGATGGGAACTAGAAGAGCCGAACACAGCCTAATGGTATATTATAGAAAGGAGAAACACTGGCAAATTGTTGAACTAGGGGAAACTCCATGACATGGAATAGGTTCTCTCTTCATAATAAGAGGCCCTCCAACAACAAATTCCACACTTTTGTTCACCGTGAATAACTCTTGGCACCAAAATGAACGCATTAATTAACATATAGTATCATTTACATTAGCCGCATTAAATTGAGATGTCGGCTTCGTAAGCAAGAAAAATAAGCGAATCAGTAACACATATGATTAATTAAGAATAAAGTATTATAATTTTTTTAAAAAAATTGATTCTAAAAGAAACTTTGGTATATAAATTTTTTACGAAAAACATTATTTCGTAATTCGGAAAGCGTACAAAAACTGCTGAATCAAATAGGCCCTTACACCCCTTCTTGTACTATAATCTAATTATGATACATTACGAAGTTAGCGCATCACATGCTTACTCAGTTATTGTTGTTAAGTCGATTTGTGGGACAGGTAAGTTACAACGGTCTCAAGCTGGATATACTATGCGTTCTCTCACCACCAGCATTATTGGTAACATCGTCATGGCACAAACAAGAACACTGCATACATATGCCTGTACTCCCCTTCATTTTATCATATAAGTATTTAGAAAAAAAAACTAAGATAGAGAGAAAATATTCTTTTTAGTCTCTGTAGTAGTCAAATTTTAAATTTTAAATAACTTAAATTCTCTACTAAGCATCTCATTTAGTGGTGACAACGGGGCACATCAAGGAAAACCAGGCCCCATCCCTAACCCCGATGGGTCCTCGGAACCCGGTCGGGGACCCAGGTGAAGGAGAGGGGGCATACATGTAGGGAAATAAGGTCGGAACTCGTTGACAACGAGTTAGGGAGTGTGAGACAGTGGTAGGCCGGCCTGTTGAGAGAAGGAGACGCAACTGAGCATAACAGAGCTGCGAAGCCGAGGCAGTGAAGCTCAATAGAGGTGGGCGAGCTAGGAGGCGCACTTCTTCGACAAGCTAGAAGCAGTGAGGAAGGTGATGCTCGGTGTGTTGTACTAATGTGCGAGTAGCGAGCTGGGAGGCAGAGAATTGCGCATCCAGGAGGATGGGTGGAATCACGTGATGTCATGAGTGACCAATTCGCGAGCTTCGGGGAGCTCAAATTTTGACTTTTTGAGAAGCATATGGTGAAAATGTAGAAGAGCTGGATTTCTCAACTTCTGTTCTTTTGTTAATTTTTTGTGTACTCTATTACTACTATATATTATTAGAATCTTGGATAATAATGCGGATAGTTTGGTGGAGTCTAAGACTCTATAAAATCGTAGTTGCTAGAAGCTCCTTTAAACATGACCATTTTTATATGCGGATCATTAGCTCTCTCATTTGTTAAAATATTTCAAATTAAACTAAATGTTCTTTTTTTCCTACATTATATACCTTAAAGACAAAAAATGGTAGTGGCTCTGTTTTTAATTTGAAGAGAATGGGAACAAGGAGTACAAATACTTAATTTGTTTTAAAGTAATTGTCACCTAACAACACTAATCCTCAAAATTTGACCATTCACTTGTTTTTTTAGAAAAATAAATACTTCAAAGGATACAATAATACCAAAGTGTGTAGCATTATACTAATTCATAATCATAAACATAAAACTTTCATTTTTTTAATAGTGGATAATCCCGCACTTTGTTTCAAGCTATGAAAAACTTAAAACTCCCATCCTCTTAATTTAACCATTTTAATAAGAGTTGTTGGTGATAAAGTTGAATTAACACTTATTTGGAAATAATAGCATATTACTTTGCGATTATAGGCAAGAGTCTCCCTGCCGGGAGGGGAACTAATTGATGCAGTCTATCCACGAAAATTTGCATATGCACCATCGTAAAAGAGTGGATTCGCTGGAATGCCATCACTTAGTGGATTTCGCTAAAATGCCATAGTCAATCGGAGGGCGTTCCGTATAATGTTGTTTTCATCCTATTATATAAATAGAAATGATTTTGCACTCTTTTTAGTTGTATTCTACTGGAGTTGCCCTTGGACCTGGACAGGTTGTTCCTTTTTCTTTTCTCCATCGAACCAAACTTGTTATTCTCACGTTTTTCTTCCTCTCTTGGCTGAGGCAGCGAGCCACGTACACGCCAACACCGCCCCACCTCACCGCTGCCGCAACAAGCCCATGGATGGAAGGGATCGTTGGGTCGAAAGATCCACACACCTCCTCCGAAGACCCAAAAGAAAAAAAGAAGTCCTACCACGTCGAGGCAACAGTGGAGAGGAATCAACCACCGTCATCGAGGCAAGAAACAAAAAGGAGCAACATTAAATTGATTGAGGAAACGATGAGACGACGATGAATGCGAGTGGCGAACTAGGAGGCAGAGGTGGCAAGCGGCTCAGCAGAGAGTGATGCAAGGATTCCTTGACGTCCCCGCCGCCCAAGCGCCAGACTCGACCACCCAGGACAACTTGCCGCCCCGGCATGCCTGGCCGCTCACCCCTGTGCCGCCCGCTAGTCACTGCTCAACCCCGCTCTGGAGGATGCACCCCCGTAGGAGGATGCGTCCCAGCTTGACGACAGGGGAGCATGAGCCGCCTCCACGACACGGCGGACTTCGATGGATGCTGAGGCGGGGTGCCGATGCGGCTACGGAATAGCGGGATGCGGTGCACTAGTGGGCCACACACTCCTACCTCAGCTCGTTGGGAAAACAATGACGAGATGACCAGTTTTCGAGAAGAGAGAAAACATGGAGCCATGGGTAGTGAGAAATAGAGTCAAAACGATATGCAAATACTTAAAAGGATGAAAATAACATTGTATCGAACACCCATGAATTGATAGTGGAATTTTAGCAAACCTGATGATGGCATCTATCTATTATATTACTAAAACAGCTTTGAAAAGAGGCACCACGTTCGCTGTGGGGCTAGAAATTCTTACATTAATCGAAGAAAAAGAAAAAAAGAAAAAGAAGAGTCCAAGTAGAAGTCCAATTTAAAAATAGCTGAAATTCGGAATTAAAAATAAGCAATATTGAAAAAAGTTTCCATATAAAAACCCAATACGAGTTTAATCAAAATTCAAAATAAAAATAAAATAAAATCCAAAATTAGAAAAGGAAAGGAGAGTCCAGGTAGAAATACAATCTAAAAATAACTGAAATTCAGAATTAAAAATAAGAAATATTGAAAGAATTTTTCATCTAAGAACCCAATACGAGATTAATCAAAATTCGAAATAAAAATAAAATAAAATCCAAAATTAGAAAGAAAAGGAGAGTCCAAGTAGGAATACAATTTAAGAATAGCTGAAATTCGGAATTAAAAATAAGCAATATTAAAAGAAGTTTCCATTTAAGAACCCAATACGAGATTAGTCAAAATTCAAAATAAAAATAAAAAAAATAAATTAGAAAAGGAAAGGAGAGTCCAAGTAGGAATAAAATTTAAAAATAGTTGAAATTCGGAATTAAAAATAAGGAATATTAAAAGAAGAGTCCATATAAGAACCCAATACGAGATTAATTAAAATTCGGAATAAAAATAAAAATAAATCCGAAATTAGCAAAAGAAAACAAAAGAAGAGTTTAAGTAGACATACAATTTAAAATTAGCTGAAATTTGGAATTAAAAATAAGCAATATTGAAAGAAGAATCCATATAAGAACCCAATACGAGATTAATTAAAATTTCAAATAAAAAATAAAATAATATCCAAAATTAGAAAAATTAAAACAGAGTTCATGTAGGAATACAATTTTAAAACAACTAAAATTGGAAATAAAAAATAAAAACATTAAAAAGTACACAATGCGGTATTAACTAATTTTTTTAAAAAATAAATTATGAAATTAGAAAAAGAAAAATAAGATTTCAATTAGGAATATAATTTATAAATAACTAAAATTTGTGATAAAAATAAAGACTATTAAAAAATAAGACCATCTAAAATACATGACGAGATAAATTAAGTAACAGGCCTACAAAGGAGTAGAGTGGTGGCGGTTGAGACGACGTATAAAAATTGTTAATAAAACACCAATAGAATCCTAATGACGATTAAAAGGAGGGATGTCAAGATATGCCGGCCCAGTCTTTCGGAGGTGCTCATAGGGGTAGGGTGTGCGTGTGTGCATTCATAGGGGTGAGTGTGCGCACGTTGTGAGCGCCTATATTTGTACTGTGTTTCTAAAAAAAAAGGAGGGATGTCAGGCAGGCCGTAAAGCAAACAAGTAAGGCGGTTGCTGGGATTTCTAGAAAGTAAAAAAAAATAAACCCCATTGATAATCATATTCGATTTTTAAAATCTCAATGGCAATAAAAAGGAGAAGCAGCGGGCGGGGTGTATAAGAGTATAGTTGCAGAGCCGCCGACGGTTAATGAGACTTCTAGAAAATAAAAAATGAATTCCAACGATAGTTATGTTCGATTTTTAGAATCACAATGACAATAAAGAGTAGGCGGCGGACGGGCTATAGAGGGGCATAATGGCATCGTTTGATGGGACTTCTAAAAATTATAAAAAATAAAACTACAAGTCTAATTTTTAAAGGTTCGGAACTTCCAAAAAGTAAAAAAAACCCAATGATAATTATATTCGATTTAAAATCTCAATGACAATAAAGAAGGGAGGCAGCGGACGAGCCGTAGAGGAGTACAATGGCAAAGCCGCTGACAGTTTGGCGGGACTTCTAGAAAGTAAAAAATGAACCCAAACGATAATTATGTTCGATTTTTAAAATCTCAATGACAATAAAGAGAAGAAACAATGGATGGGCCGTAGAGGAGTATAATGGCAACGTTTGACGGAACATCTAGAAATTATAAATACGAAACTCAACGTGACAATAAACTCTAAAAACTATAAAATCTAATTTTTAAAGGTTCCAAGAAGAATAAATAGAAATAATAGTAGATTGAGCAAGCAAATAAAGAAGGAGATGACATAAGGGGTAGCAACTGGTGTGACTTTTAAAAACTTTATAATTAGAAACACGAGGGTGATAAGGTTTGGTCTTTCAAAGTCTTAAGACAGTGAGATAGCTATTTAATAAATTTTAAGTAAAATCATACTAAAAAAATATATGATTTTGTTTGGGTGCTAGCCACGCAATTGCGCCGACCACCCAGCTAGTTACAGTTTATGGTATATACATAATTTTCTCATCTACGGAGTATCTCCGACTGAGTAATCTCATATCCATCTGCAAACTTATTTTGAAAGTTCCAAATGGAGCTAAACATTTGTATTTACCGTTCAAATCCTCAAAAAAATCCCCACTTTTTCGTTGTCCCACGCAATTTAAACGTGCAGGCCGTCGTCCTGTCCGCGGGGAGCTTGTTCAAGCGGACATCCCTCCACGTCCTCACCTCTCTCCCTATTCCAGGAAAACAAAACCAACCCCCTTCTGTAGCGTACTAAACTCCTGGAGGAGTATACAGTATACTCCTACTCCTATTCACTGCCTGGTGGGCCCCCACACTGCTACTGGCCCCACTCCCGCCGCAGGCTCGCCGCAAACCCAACACCCCACCACAGCCGTGCGCGCGCCGCGGCGTCACCTCCTCCTCCCCTGCTTTAAAGGCGCCGCTAGCGAGCGAGCGAGCGAGATTGCTTCACGGCAGCATCGGCGACGGCGGCGGCGGAAGCAGCAGTAGGTGAGGTCGTCTTCTTCCTCCAGCCACGTAGAGTCGCGTCGCGTCCAGCGCGGCAAAGGGGCCAGTAGGCCGACCTGCCCCGCCCCCGCTGTCCATTATTTATACCATTTCCGCGTCCCCCCACCCTCCTCCCCCGCTTTCCCAATCGAGGCGAGCACCGCAATTGCAGGGTTCCGGAGGCCGAATAAAAAAGTTTGGCCTCTCCCCGCAAAAAAGTAAAAAACCCAAAACAACCATCCACCAGCGCATCGCGGCACCGCGAGCGAGCGAGCGGAGGGAGGGAGGTGGAGAGCAAAAGTTCGATAAAAGGAGAGGAGGAGACGAAGCGTCGAAGCCCAAGTAACATCCCCCCAACCTCCGCCTCCTCCTCCTCCCCCTCCTCCCATGCCCGCATCGAGATCTTAGCCGCGCCGGAGATCGAGAGGGAGGAGCGGCGACGCGGGCGCCCCCGATCCCTCCTCCTCGCCGCCGCCGCCGCCGGCGGCGCCGGAGCAGCAGCAGCCGACGACGACGACGACCGCCGCAGCAGCCGATCGGTAAGTGATCCGATCCGCCTGCGTGCCCGGGCCCCGGGTCCGATCGGCGGCGGATCGCGGCCGGATCTGGTACGGATCGCGGCGAGGGGCGGCCGGATCTGGTACGGATCTCGCGTAATTCTGAGGAGGGGGGGGGGGGAGGGGGAGGGAGCGCGCTTGGCGTTTTGCTACGTGGGTTGTGCGGGGGGGTGGGTGCGGCCCCCGATCGCGGCGTTGCTTTCAGCTCGGATCTAGCTGATGTGCGTCCTGCGCGCGCGGGCGCATGCGTTTTTGTGGTGGCGTTGTGGATAAGTCGGGGTTTTGTCCGCATTTGCTATGGCTGGCTGGTATCAATTGGGCTTGCGTTTGTGGATTGCAGGGGGAGGAGGGGAGGGGAGGACGCGATGGAGGCGGACTCCGGGAAGCTCTTCGTCGGCGGCATCTCGTGGGAGACGGACGAGGACCGCCTCCGCGAGTACTTCAGCCGGTTCGGGGAGGTCACCGAGGCCGTCATCATGCGGGACCGCAACACCGGCCGCGCCCGTGGGTTCGGCTTCGTGGTCTTCACCGACGCAGGCGTCGCCGAGCGGGTCACCATGGATAAGCACATGATCGACGGGCGCATGGTAAATCATGTGGTGACCTGACCCCCCCCCCCCCCCCCCTGCTCTTTCCTCTGCTAGTGAAGTATTGTGCATTTCGGTGGCAATTCTGTCCTAGTGCGGCTGTTCATTGTCTGAGCTCAATTGTGCATACCGATTCAGGTGGAAGCGAAGAAAGCTGTTCCCAGGGACGACCAGAGCATCACCAGCAAGAACAATGGCAGCAGCATAGGGTCACCTGGACCAGGCCGTACTAGAAAGATCTTTGTTGGAGGCTTGGCCTCTAATGTTACTGAGGTTGAATTTAGAAGGTATTTTGAGCAATTTGGTGTGATTACGGATGTGGTTGTCATGTACGACCACAACACGCAGAGGCCTAGGGGCTTTGGATTCATCACCTATGACTCAGAAGATGCGGTGGACAAGGCACTGCACAAGAACTTCCATGAGCTGAATGGTAAGATGGTTGAGGTCAAGAGAGCTGTTCCAAAGGAGCAATCACCTGGACCTGCTGCACGTTCACCTGCGGGAGGGCAGAACTATGCTATGAGCAGGGTCCATAGCTTCTTGAATGGTTTCAACCAGGGTTATAACCCAAACCCTATTGGAGGTTATGGCATGAGGGTTGATGGAAGGTATGGTCTGCTTACAGGCGCACGGAATGGATTCTCTTCATTTGGCCCTGGTTATGGAATGGGCATGAATTCTGAATCTGGGATGAATGCGAATTTTGGCGCCAATTCTAGTTTTGTCAATAACTCCAATGGGCGGCAGATAGGTTCATTCTACAATGGTAGTTCAAACAGATTAGGTAGTCCTATTGGTTATGTTGGTCTTAATGATGATTCAGGATCACTATTGAGTTCAATGTCAAGGAATGTTTGGGGTAATGAAAATCTGAACTACCCAAACAACCCCACAAACATGAGTTCTTTTGCACCATCTGGAACTGGAGGTCAAATGGGTATTACCAGTGACGGTATTAATTGGGGAGGGCCTACTCCTGGCCATGGAATGGGCAACATTTCAAGCCTTGGGCTGGCTAACCTTGGCCGTGGAGCTGGAGACAGTTTTGGCTTGCCTTCTGGCAGCTATGGAAGGAGCAATGCAACTGGTACCATTGGTGAACCCTTCTCTGCACCACCCAATGCATATGAAGTGAACAATGCAGATACATATGGCAGCAGCTCCATTTATGGAGACTCAACTTGGAGGTTCACGTCATCTGAGATTGATATGCCTCCTTTTGGTAATGACCTTGGAAATGTTGATCCAGATATCAAATCAAACATACCAGCAAGTTACATGGGCAACTATACTGTTAATAATAATCAGACAAGCAGAGGTCAGTAATCACTTCAACATTTTGCTGAGCTAAACACATATTCCCTATTTCTTTATAACCAAATCAATGCTTTCTCACTTACTTAGCCATTAATGAAGCAAATAAATCATATACTCCCCTCCGGTTCTGAATGTAGGTTGTTTTAGAGTTGTGCACAGGAATTAGAAAGTGTTAAAGTGACCTCGTTGCCCTATTGTTATTAAACATTGGAAAAAATACCTCATTTGTTCACGAGAGTAGTGGCATTCAATTAGCAAGGACATAAGAGGAAAAATCCACGGGACAAGTGGCTATAGTGACTTATATTTAATGAAGAGTAAAGAACTATAATGCGACCTATATTTGGAACCGGAGGGAGTATACTCAAGTAGACTGGTGATACCATATATAAAAAAAGACCTTTCTTGGGAGTTTCCAATCCAGCAAAATTTAGCCTTAGGAGTTAGGACCTGATAATGGCTAAATTTTGCATGAGCACAAAAGCAATCCACATTCTATATCTATTATTATGCTTTCTATATTTTCTTAAATCTATGCCTAAAATGTAATTTGATTTCTCAATCCACACTTTGGTGTTTATCTAGATTCTAGATGCCTTTGTTCAATACAAGATTCCTTCATTCGTTGCCCGAACTTAATACTTAATGAGAGTTGAGCACTACACTTGGACAAATCAACATATGCTATTGCTGATCTCTATTTACATGTCACCACAGAATTTTGAAACATTTGTATTAGCTGAGGACCTAATCTCGTAGTAATCTCTTGCCACAGCTAATTTGTCAATTTGAACTGTGATACTCTTGTCTTGCCTCTGCGTGTGTTAAAAACGTGGCAATAGGTTAACCATTTGTTAAAATAAAATAATCATGTCTTAGATGGTTTGGTAAATTTTATGGATGCATGTGGGTGCCAGTTGGCTCATATTGACCTCATTCCACTTCACATCAAACCTAATAAGGTGTTGCATTTGTTAATTTATGCATCTGAATTATTTGTATGGAAATGAACAGAATGGGGGCAATACGACCTACATCACTAGGAAAGCGGTAGCGCCTCTGTAGTTAGTCAGTTGTGCACTTTTTAAAAATGAGCAGTGGATGAAGCATTTGATTGTACGCTAGTGTGATAAGCTGCCCTTTTGTAATACACGTGGTTCTACATGGTCCTTTTATAGAAAATTGAAAAGAACTTTGGTCCTATAGTTTAATTAACTCGGACGCGAGTCATCTACCTATCCTGCGCAGATACTTTTATGGAGCTGTAATGTTTTGGTTGTTAATTTGGACAATTATGCTTACTGGTAGCCCAATTCATCGTCATCACTAAATCATTCAGTTGGTCCAAGTCTAAATTTCAGTGTGGTGTATGGCCCCCTTGCCTCATGTATGTTATTATCATCAAATTGAGTATCTACTGCTCATTCCAGTCACAAATACATGTTTATACATAAGTGCAATCAAACTTTTGAAACTTTGATTATCAGATGGGATGCATGAAATCATTTGTAAGTAATATAAATATAGTGCAGTTGTCGGCAGAAATTAGTTGTACAAATTGTGTTAGGAATCGTCTCAATTTCTGGAATGGCATGCATTTGTTAAGCTTAGAGCGGTATGAATATGTTTTGGAATAAATCAAATACAGTACTTGATTTCAGTATAATGTTTTATATTTACCAGTAATTTAACACATGATCTGCGATTGGTGAAGTAAATAAGGCTGCTTTATATCTTCAATCAGTGAAACCCCCTGTTGAAGATATCTACAACATTTCTTTCTCACAATGGTTTTATTGAATCTTTTTGCAGGTATCACTTCCTAGCGAGAGTACTATTATATTCATATATGACTTGGGATAGATGAAAGAAGCATTATATCAGGTATTCAGGTGCATGACTATGAATTGGTGATATCAGGTTAATATACGGGTTAGTTAATTGTTTCTAGCTAACCAGAGGTGTGGTTTATGGACACCACCATGCTAGAGGAGCGAATACAAACGTTTTGTGAAGGTTTCAGATTTTAGTTTAATTCCTACATGTATTAGGTCTTGGTTTTTGAATGAGATGTGCAGTGGTGATTGCGGCACATACTTAGAGTGTTCCAACATAAGCTGGAATCCTGTCATATGGACAAACTTGTATACCAAAGGAATGCTTTATTATCTTGCCCATTTATGGCTACATTAGCTCGCTTGTTTTCATTCCCTTTTTAACCAATTCCATTTGTATACTAGAGATCTGCTTGACTTACTAGTGAAACTATTCGGGGACGCCGATCCTATCTTTGCAGTTGGCTCCCAGAAATAAAGCCACCAAAAGTGCATACTTATTTGTTCTACCTTGATTTGCCATATGTATATGCTTCTGTTCGTTTTAAAATAGAACTTTGGGTTTGATTATTCCAATTTGTGCATTGTATATTTGCTGTAAAGCTTATATATAGCTGTTCTGCTGTTGCCTGTTGGTTTAGTTTAATGTAGCCTTTCATAGCATGGCATGTGGTTCGTGCCTTTCTGTTCGTTGTCTTTTGGAAAGTAGCTTTGGGCCTCATGTGGACGGAGTACCCTTTTTAGGTAGTTAATCCTTAAGGACATGGCATATATGTACTTGCTCTAGAAATTAGTTCATGATTTCTGCTTCTATAAATCTGCTTCCTGGCTTCTTCATCACGGAAACGTCACCATAACTTTTAGGTTACATTATGACTTTCTGCTACCTATACGTGCAAGGCGCTCCACCTAACTATTTTTCGTATATTTTGAACTGTTGATAATTCTTTTACCCACGTTTTGAATTACTTGTTTTAGGGCCTATTCGTTTTTTGAGGAAAATCAAAGTATTTGGATTCCTATTAGTGTCATTAGGTTTATAGAAATGTATGTATAGGAAAACCAACGAAAATTTTTCGTGGAAATTTTCCATCTACTCAAACCTCTAAGAAAATTTCTATGGATCGAAGTGTGCATACATTCCTATTCCTCCACCTTCCCTATTCCTATGTGTTAAAATTCTTCCAAAACGAATGCTCCCTTAGTACGAATACAAGAGGAATTGTACTTGAAAAAAAACACAGATTCTGTTAGCATATCCCAAAAGGACTAAATAGGAAGTGTTGGAGAGAGAATGATTGTATAAGATTAAGAAAATACATAAAACACGCTAAACCATTAGCACACGATTAATTGAGTATTAATTATTTTAAATTTGAAATTTTAATTAATATTATTTTAAGCACCTTTTATATAGTTTTTTTTTATAAAAAAACATACCGTTTAGTAGTTCGGAAAACGTGAGTGCGGAAAACAAGTGACTTTCCTCTCCATATGATTAAGCCATTCACAATGTAAGGATGTGGCAATTTCCTTACCACGCCCCATCCTTGATGTGGCTCCACGATGCCCCTGCAAGGCTCATCGTTCTTGCTAAGAACGCATGAACCTTGTCAGAAGAGTCAGAGCGAGGTCGTTCGGAGGGCGAAGCTACAACCACTATGGAAGGCATCGCCCTGCCTATGGCCTCACTTCGAGCTTGACACCGTCGGCGAGGAGAGAGTTTGAGCTTGTCCACGTCGACCCCTTTCTCTTCTTCTTCTTCCCCACCGTCCTCTCCACTTCAATCCGCGTTGCTGGCTGAAGCTCACCGGACACACTGTCCACCGAGCTGCGCTGCCTCACATGCCACGCTGCCACCTAGCGCTGGGCTAGATCCAGGTGGCACTATCTAGGTCGGATCCCGCTCCTCCTTGATGCCTAAGAGGGGAGGTGATGACGGTGGTGGCCAAGCTCCCATGCCGTCGTTGTTGAGGTCGTCGCCTTCTGAGGGGCTCCATCTCCTCATCGTCGGTCGGGAGGGGTCACGCACCCCTGAGCTTGTTGTCATCGTCCGCTTGGTGGCTTCGTCGCCGCCTCAGCCTCCTCGACCGCCATCGTGCCCCCAATCTCCTTGACTACCGCCGCGACATGAGGAGAGGAGAGGAGGGCGCCATGGGCTCGTGGTAACCGAAGGAGGTGGGCATGCCGGGGAGGGGGGTGAGGATAAGGGAGAGAGGGGTTTTAATATAATTTTTTTTAGATTTTAGGGTGTTTAGTGTAAATTTTGGACCTCCATACAAATTGAAAAAAAATGAGAACTAAAACAAAAGATGTTGGGGAGCTGAAATATAGAATTATAGCCACTCCTAGAGCCACTTGCATCGTAAAGAACTCAAAATTTAGACCCGTAGCCCTAGCCTACATGGCTTTCCGGGGCTCCTCTTATGAGTAGGAGGCGCTATGAATGGGCCTAGAGCAAGTGCTATGGGCATCTAAACATTTACTCCAAGATGCCACATACACTCGTATGATGAGCTGGAGAGAAGAGAAGAGAGAAATAGTCACCCCTCCTATAAGGGGTAACCTTCACATAAATTATAATAAAAAAGGGAAAAAAAAGGAAGAGAAGATTGATCAAACAAATAAAATAAAACTATTAGGGTTAGTGCACTACAATTAATATATGTGTGATTTATTGTATATGCTATCTTTTAATTGATGAATAGTCTACATGAATAAAATTAGGGGTGAAATCTACCTTTTCCATAAGACTTGCTCTTGTGCCAAGCGCAGCTACCAGTCTATTTCAACCAATGATTTGTATGGATCTTAGTCCAGACAATTATCAAAATTTTGGTAACTTCCAAACATTGCCCCTGCGTAAGTTTTTTGTGAGGATAGGTATTGGCATTGATCCAAACAAGCCTCGATTGCTTTGAGGTACTGTTCCTTGTCTACATAGGAAGCCATATCCGTTTGATCACAATAGACCAAACATACGAGAAACTGGACTGAAATTGCACATACACATAATAACAGATGCAGATTATTATACTTTAAAAAATAATCAGGATTGTTAGAATACGGCTGTGTTTAGTTCACATTAAAATTGGAAGTTTGGTTAAAATTAGAAGGATGTGATAGAAAAGTTGGAAGTTTGAAGAAAAACTTTGAAGCTAAACACGGCGTACATTGAAAAGTAGAAGGTGACGTGCCATCCATGGAGCCACCTTGGTTGGAGCCTTTTCCACTCTTCTTGAAGCAAACGGTCAAGGTGAAAATCTCAAGGACAAACCCATCCATGGAGTTCTGAATGCTGTGGGTTGGGGGGGCTTGGGGCGCTCTGTTCCGTCGGCGTCAATGCGTCATACTGGCGACTGGCGAGGTAAACGATGGTGTTTCCATCGCTTGGTTCTATCTCCATGGCGCCTGCCAAAATGCCAATGCTGTGGTTACATAATCGGAGCAGGGATGAGAGCGGTCAGAAAAACCATATACTATTTTCATTTTCATTTTTTTCTCGAAAACAGAATCGGAACAGTAGATTCGAAGATTCAAAAACAGTAACGATATCAGTATATCGGAAATGGGACCGTCGAAACGGAATCAACCGACATTGGTCGGAAGTCGAAAATTCATGTCAGAATCAGAAAAGTGTGGCCTAATACACATTTAATTATGTACGAAGATGACTTTATAACTTCATTCTTGCATCATCACACTTCACATAACACCGTTATATGATAATTAATGATATAATAATAAGTTTGATCAACAATATAAACAAAATTTAACAATATCTCAACACCGATAAGTTGAGTAGACCAAAGTTCAGCAACGTCCACATGCCATGCCCTAGCGTTAACAGCGTTTTCCTTTGGTCACTTCCCCTTTCTAATGTGCTACAAACCTGCTAGGCTTCCTTCATTCATAGGCTTCCGATATGTTTGATTGGTTGAGTCGCTATGGAACTTTTAGAATTTTGACGAAAATTACCATACAAATACGGTTATCGATAAAACGGTCAGAAAAACCTTCATCCTATTTCCGGAAGATATTACCGTTGCCATTTCTAACACGGACGGTAACCAATACTGACTGAAATGGTCATTGGAAACGGCAGCCGAAAATCTTAAAAATTTTCGTACCGTTTTCACCACTAATCGGAGCCGCCGGATGGGGGGGTCGGCCTGACCTTCGGAAACAGTCGTGCTCTGAATCGCGCGTATTGACATTTCCCCCTAGCAACTCTTCAGTACTCCACAATATCGATGCTTTTGAGATAGCTACTCGGTGAATGAGACAGTCCAGTGATGCTACCTGTGAGAACTGAGAGCACAAAATTCAGCAACTTCGTTATTGCGTTTACGTGCTAAAACGTGGTGTTTCTGTCTCTCTGTCTCGGGTTTCTGCCCTGCTGATGCCACCAAAGACGACCGTTAAGGTTCGCTTCGACTGGAACTTGTACTGGTGGTCCGTCGGCTACACGGTCACCATTCTGAGAGCAGGTAAAATAGGTAAAATAGAAGGCTATAAACCAGCTATAAACATATTTTAAAATAATAAAGAAAGAGAGAGAAGAGCAGCAGACTACATATCTGTAGCCCAGCTGCAGCACGAACTCTAAAATGTAATGTGTGTATGACAAGTGAGACCATGTATTAATAGTATAATAAGCAACTATTGTATGAATTAGCTAGTAGTGGGTTATATTATTAAACTTGCTCTGAGCATCGTCAATGGGCATCGGCAATTCGGCATCCTGCAACCTGACCAGAAGTGCAGAAAAAAACGTTGGTGCCGTTCTGGTCATCATCGCCAGCGCGGACACGCGGAACGCGACGTCGGCCGCCGTTCGCCTCGGTGGTACATGCGTCCAGTGCACGCTGGCGCTCAGCTCCTCCAGCTCGCTGCACTCCTCTCGTAGACGCGGCCCCCGGCGGAGAACGCGCGGCCGGCGTCGACCACGACGTCGGCGCCAGCAGCGAGGAATAGGAGGAGGCGGGGAGGCGAGGCGCCATCAAGGAACGGCCCGAGCCCATCATCGCAGGTGGCGAGGATGGAAGGATGCAGAACGGGAAAGAAGGTTGTGCTTGGAGTGTGCCAGGAGAGCTGGAGATGAACAAGTGAGGAGATATGCCCTGCAATAGTGCAATTTGTCAGCGGGAGACCGAGGCGTACCCGGAGAAATGTTTGGTTCATGCCTGCATACGTGTGGAGCTGTGGGCTGGGACAACATGGGCCAAATGGGATGGAATGTCAGATCGGGGTAAAAGGCCTAGTTTCGTAGACTTGTGGCCTTTTGGGCTTACGAGCTTTGACGGCCTTGGGAAAATAGGCCAGCTGTTGGGTTGGAACTTGGATCTGGATCTGAAGTCTGGAAAGGAATAAGTTCATCTGAGGTCCCTTAACTCGTCAACGAATCCGATTTTCGTCATTCAGCCAGAAAACCAGATACAGTAGGTCCCTCATCTATCAAAACTGGTAAAGATAAGGTCCCTCGGCGGTTTAGAGAGCAGTTTTGGCT